ACTATGAATAATAATAATAATAATAATAATAATAATAATAATAATAATAATAATAATAATAATAAATGGAAGATCAACATTTTGATATCCTATTTGGCTGTTTGTTTTCCATTTAAATACATATATGTGGATACATTTTCAAATGAAATTAGAATTTCTGGGTAAAACTGGGTAGTTTGGGTTAAAAAAAGGTGTCTCTTCCAATTTAGTTTGTGTTACTTGATCTCAGAACTGAACTTAGTACAATGATATTGTAACTGTAAGAAATGATGGCCGAAACTATAACAAGACCCAAGTTGTGATAAACAAGAATTATCCTCTAAATATCTGCGCACACATTTTTATTTAAAAAATCACAGCGATTCAAACATCAGATCCAGGCAGCTACTGATTCAACGTCTCTACAGGCGCTGGTGGCAGGAAACAGGCAGCTACCCAATCAACAGGCAGCAATCAGGTTCATTAGAGGGGTGAATGGTAGTTAAATAAGGAGGAGGGAGGGGGCGGGCAGGGTAAGGGGAGCTGGCGACTGATTATTCAAGCAGCAGCAGCTCTTCACCTTGATATCATCGAAGAAGAGTGCGGTTTCGCCCTCGATAATGGGCTGAAGGAGGGGACCTCTGCGCTTGCTGGAGGGAGAGCCCTGTGGTGACGGTTAAGAAGGAGGCGTTAACCACGCTAAGACGCTCACTCTGGTATTTACAGCAAGGCCACGAGAAAACGCCAGATTTCCTTCAAGTTTTCACCAAATCCTGCGTCTAAACTTTAATCGGAGCTGAAGCTCAGCAGATTTTTCGGTTTCCAGTTTAACACTTTAACCACATGATGTCCAAATGACATTTACTTTGAAAATCTAACTCGATTCTAATTAGTCAACAACTAGCAACCAAGACTGGTGTTAGGTGACTTATTTGAGATGGCAACCACTTGAAGCCTCATCATGTAAGCAATTTTTAGAGTAAGAAGAAAAAAATTTAATAAATTGAAAAATAGCCAAGAAAAAAAATCATTTCTCCATGGTTACGCCTCTTGAAATCAAAAGGGTGTATTTATTTTATTACAGTATTTATTTTAGGTACAAAAGAAAGGGTGGTGCTTGTTACAGGGTTCAAAGCTGGAAAAAAAACATTAATTTGCGGTCGACTCCAGCATCATTTGACCTTTCCGGCTTAATAAAAATGCTGCACGGTGACTTCTATTGTATAGAGTAATCTATGGCAGCAGTCCAATTTGCATAATGGGGATTAGAGGTAGTGCATTATATAACAGATATGTACAGTAGATTCATAAAGCAGATCATACATTACATAATAGAAATGGTTATTAAATAGCTCAGAACACTGAACTAAACTATAACAGGCAAACAAGTCCTTTCCTATCACAGAAAAATTTCAGTATTTCTACAGTTTCTGACCCTTTCCTGCACTCAGCTGTACGTGATGTCATTTCCTGTGAACTCAATCTGCAACCTATGAGCTCCTTTAAGGCCGGGGGTGGGGTGGGGGGGACTCACTGAGCTGCTAAAGCTGGACTTAGAGCCTTGAAAGGTGGATAACACGTCTGTGGCACGGCTGCCACTGGTTCCCACAACAGGCACTGAAGCCAGCATGAGCAGGGGATTAAGTGTCTGCAGACGTTCGGACAATGTGGCGATCTTTGCGTTCGCTCGCGTGTCAACGAGCGGCAGGACGAACGGGCAGCTGTGGAGGGCGACAAAAGATGGAGGCAGGTTTAAAGATGCGGCACTTACAATGACGGGGATGGTGGAGGCTCTGCAGAGGATCTGCTTCACCAGGCGATATCTGTCGTACAGGGGTTTCATGACTTGCCTCTCGCTTTTGGTGACCTGAAGTAGCAAAAAATGAGGGAAACAAATGCATGTTGTTAGTACAGAGTAAGCTTATTTCTGCCCTCCACTGCCTCCCTGCAGACTAACTAGCTACTGCGCTAACATAACACAAAATGACAGCTAACCCAGACTGGCCCATAACAACCCTTCAGAACGGTCATTAACCACAAACCACAGCGCGAGGAGGGATGGAGGTGACAGAAAGGTCAGCTGCACTTCCCCATATACGACAGTGCGAGCAGGGATTAGACGGCGCAATTATTCCCATTGGATATGACATCAAACAAAGTGTGTGCCAGTTCTTTCACAGTGCAGTTTTATGGCACAGTTAAATTACAAACTTTCTGTTTTCCAAAGCAACTAAGATCTACAGTATAGATTGGCCCCTTCTGAGGAAGCTGCATGCGTCTGTGTTATTTAAAAGATTGAAGGTGGAGGATGACTCACTGGTCGGCCGTGTATGCTCTCGTAGTAGAGGAGAGCTTTCTGCAGGGCGACTTTCTCTGCTCCGATCTGCTCCCGTGTCATATCCTGTCAGCGGGAGGGAACAGGAAGTGAGTCAAAAACATTTCAGAAATGACCTGGGTTCATTCTGTGTTGCAACACTGTTACTCCTTCACACACATAACATAATAAATCCAAGCCCTGCTGCCTGCTTTAAAATTGATGCTGTTTATCTTACATGAAACATCCATTTGCTGTACACGTCTGTCTATGTTTTATTTACTCATCCTTGTGAGCGTGTAACGTGGTCACGGTCTTACCTTGATATCCTCTGGGCGGTTCACCTCCTCTCTCTTCTCCTGCAGCTTCTTCGATATCGTCTCCAGGGTGCTTTCCACCGGAGGCTTCGGCACTTTCTCCTGCTGGGGTTTCTTCTCCAGCTGAGAGCCGAAACTTTTGGGCAGCGTGTTGCTGCGCTGACGGGTCAGAGGCGGCAGGTCCTCTTCAGACTTCATCAGCTTGTGTTCTGATGAGGAGAAAAAAAAAAACAGGAAAAGTACACATTAGTTGTTGTTTTTTTTTTATGATCTCATTACAGACAGTTGTGTTTAAGATTGTTGTCCATGCCTATGTCTTACCTTTTAGCTCTTTACGAAGCTTGGCCAGTTCATTTACCCATCTCAGCACCTCTGGGTTTGCAACTTTATCACTGTGGGAGGGCTGGATGGAGGAAAAAAGCAATACAACAGATGAGAATATTCTCTCAAGCTGTATTCTCTATTTACAATAAATTCCAAAATTAGATTGGGTTATTTTTGATGTGAAATAAAATGAAAACCGCTGTACATACCCTGTATTTCCGCTCCTCTTCAAACCTCTCCTCGAACCTGTGGATCTTTTTCTTCAGTATGTGGATCCTCTTTGTGAGCTGGGCGGATGTCAGCTCCTCTTTCTCATCGTCACAGGAGCCAAGAGACGAACTGCGTCTGCGGCTGGAGAGATTCATAAAAATGTTAATGTCACTGGCAGCTCCTTCCTACTGCCTCTACATACCAAAAAAAAACAAACAACAACAACCATGTGTTTTACCTGACAAATGAGTGTGCGTTTGGCGGTGAAGGAGGCACTTCAGTGTCATCCAGATACTGCTGGCACTGTCCGTAGGCGTAGAAGCGAGGGGACAGCATCGGGTCGCTGTCTTCCTCCAGCAGCTGGCGGATCAGGCGTCCCCCGGCGTGAGGGGACAGCCGAGCTTCCTCGCGGTCCATGCTCTCCCTCTGCAGTGGCGAGAACGCTGGGACTGGTTCTGAGTGGCACAGAAACAAACACCCCTTGTGTTTCAATATGACACTTTGCTTGTTCTGTGGTCGAAGAGAAGATATAAACAAAAGATATGCAAACGTCGGACAGGTTAGTTTGGGGGTCTTGTTTGGTTTTTGCGGTGCGTTCTGGCCGCCAGACGACACATAGCTTGCCGCAGTACAATCGCAGATTCACCATAATATCCCTGAGAGCTCTGTAGCAACAGAATAACGGGATGAAATGCAGTCTCCTCTTGAGTTGAAGAGTTCAAACTATAAATCCAGGATCAAATCTGCTTATTGACTCAGAAGCCTTTTATATCCTTCCATCAAATTGATTTGGGTTCATTTTAAACTGAAAATAACTAAACCTAACCGGTTTGTGCACAAATAAAATAGTATAGTATAGTTACTTATTTGCTCTTTTTAAATGACTGAATAATTAAATGGATGACAGTTGCAGGCAAAATCTAAATAACAAACATTATTGATTAATCTGCAGATTATCTTTTTCAATTATTCAATTAATTGTTTGCTCTAAAAAAAAAATAGTGATAACAGTTTCTCATAACCCAAGGCTCTTCGAATTGTTTTTGTCTGACCAAGACTAGAAAAAAGGTATTTTTTAATCACATAGGACCAAAAAAAAGCAGCAAAATCCTCATAACTGATAACCAGCCAGAAAAATGACAGATCTCTAATCTAGATTTATATTCTAGGTTTGCTCATAAAAAAGAGCAATCTGTTACATAAACAGACAAACCGTGGCGTAGTTTGCCAACTTGCAACCAAATCCAAAATGAAACCAGACTATTATTTCCTGCTAGAATCTGTTTTACAAGACGGGTCAAAGCTTTCAAACAAAAAGTCCAACAATATGTGAATTTTCCAAAGATCAGCACCTATTCTCTTCCAAGACACTATAAGGTCATTTCTCTCCCTGCTGACATCTTTTTGGATCCTCTCTGGCGTTGTGAAAGTTACTGGACATAACGAAGCTGCTCTTTCTAAAACTTCCTTTGGGGCTCTACAGTCACAGAAGTTGTCCTGAAACTGTGGGTAAGACACGCCCACCCTCCCTCTCTCTCTCTGTTCATCCCCTGGTTACAGTCTCCGCTCTGGCAATAATTATGTCTAGTGAAAATAGCCATGCAGATACCCCTGACAATCTCCGGGCTATTAATAATGCCTGGCTCTCCGTGGGATAATGTCAGGGCGCGACCCCTGTTGAGAGGTACAGTGATGAGTTTGTGTTGTAGTTTCCACTCTGCATGGTGAGAGATAAACCCTGTTGGTGTGTCTGTCCCAAACATGTGTGCATGAGAGAAAAAACTATACAGAGAAATTAGTAGTTTGAGAGACTTCACTGTTAAAATAAGTAGGGAAAACACTATGTGTGAAATGTGTGAAAACATGAGACTCGGCAGGAACAATAATGTAGATTTCATGGAAAAGGAGAGACCCGTAACCCGTGAGAAGTGATGGAGGGAATGAAAACAAGCTCAGAAGGAAACCAACTGTTAGTGTAAACATTCAAAGTGTCAGAAAGCACTCGTGAAAATATGCACGCACAGTCTAAAACTGCACATGCATATTTTTCTTAGCTGGGGCATACGAGAAGCAACTTATCTCAAATTCCAGCTCTGCTCCCAGGGAGACCTCCTCTTCCTCTAGGTACGTGCAGTTTATCAAGTAGCGTGTTAGAGCTCACTCACAGCAGCAGGTGAAACTCTCAATCACACTGAATGTCTTCCTTTGAGCTCTATTATCTAGCTCAGAGAGCAGAGCAGAGTGGCCGGCCAGCGAGGCTCAGTGGCATTTGAAATTAATCCTTTAAATCAACCGCTCGCTGATGGTTCAGGATTAACTAGACTAATGAAACAAAAAAAACATGCCAGTTTGCCATTTCATTAAAGGTTGTTGTGTGTGTGTGAGACGCTCAACCGCAGTGTTCCCGATCATTCAAGCATGTTGCCATGCAGAAGAAAAGGTCATTCAGACAGCCTTGTCTTTCTTTTCTCTCTGACATGTTATTTGTAGCAAAGCAAGTCAACACACACGGCGATGTAAAATTACACTTACCATCACAACAACTTGGATAAAAAATGCTTTTGAAATCAAAGGTGTTAGAGAACGGAGAATCTAGAGGAACAAAAGAAGAAGAAAAAGAGGGGAGAGGAGAAGGAAAAGACAGGATGAAGGAATGAAAACAAGGAAACAGAAGTAATTAAGGACAAGATGATGGAATGAAAACAAGGAAACAGAAGTCAGAAAGGACCAACGTGCATCCTTGCTGTTGCAATAAATACGGGAAACCAAAATAACAACCATCTCCCACAAGCCTTAATAAAGTCACGAGACGTACGAGCCTGAGAGTCTTGTCTCCTGCCGTCTAATTTCCCATTAATGTCTTTTCCACCATTGCTGGCAGACAGGCAAGGACAGAGCAGCAGCAAATATCAGGTCACCATGACAGGCGCTGGCACAAAGTGTACTGGAACAAAGGTCTCACACCACTGCCTAATGCCCTCATCCAGCCACAAGCCCACTTGTACTGTATTACACCTTCTGTACAGTATACACACATCCCTAAACAGTACTTACTACCATTATAAAACTTTATTAACTGCTTATTCAGCTAGGCTCATTTTGCCAGAACATAAATCCCTCTTTGGCTCTCGCATGTGAAGAAGAAAACGTGCCAGCTAAAGTTCAACTTTGCACAATACATTTACACTATTGCAGTTTGTGCTTATGGCCAAGCCCTGCTCCCTCTCATACTTCGAATGACCTGATCTGTTGGCCATCTCATGCAACTAAAAAAGGATACACTGTATGTCTAAGTGGCCTGTCACAGCCAATCATGCAGGCACCCTGTGGCGTCCTCGCTGCCGTGAACTCATTTATGCATTCAGGACAGAATGTACAGGAAGGAGGTTCACAGGGAAGCAAAAGAAGCCAAGAAAAACAGGCACGTAATAACATTTTGTTCTTAGTATTGGTATTAAACAGCTACTTGGAAAAGCAAATTTCCTGAACAAACTGTAGAAACCTCAGCTGCATCCTCCCTCCAAGCAAATTGCATTTTTAATTACAAGCACACAGACACACAATCAGAGTCAGCAGACCGAGGGAACCGAAGCAACTAACGCCACACCTTTCTGAAGCAACAGTTTTGTTGGCTCAGGCACAATATTTAAGTACTTGACCTTTCTCCTCTCATGCAGCAAATGCAGCAGGTCAACAACAGCGTCTGATGTTTCAATAATCACATTTGGCCACTAGAGAGCTCCACCAAACACGCAATGGTCTGCTCATGCTCCAAACATGAGGCTGTTGAAGTTTATTGCATGGAACAAAATGTTTGCACCGCCTGCCACCCCAAACAGGAAACAGTAGTGGCGACGCTGGGGGTGGTGGTGGAAGACCAACATTTGCAGCGGAAATATGATCAAAAAACATGCCGCAACATGCCCCTTCAACTCCTTCACTTCAGCTTTGGGGCGAACCTGTTGGCTGCCATTCACTTACAGCAGAAAGCGCTTGGCGTTCACTGCTCAGCAAAGAAAAACCTCCACCCAACCCCCGCTGTGTCGCAACGTCCGAACAAAACAATCACTGTCTCTGTGCACCGCGATTGTGCACGATTTCCTTTCTGCACAAACACAACCGCATTAATAAAAAAAACAAAAAAAAAAAACAGGTCTGACAGAAAAATGGAGCATGTTGGGATATGAGAGATATGGATAATGCAATGCTCCTGAATGTTTCTGCATCAGACACTTGATCGTCGATGAATTAACCATTTAAACGTTGACAGCCACTGAATGCACCATCCTGGAGGCACAGAGCAAACACGAGAGACTTTTTATTAAACACACAAGTCTGGAAATTTCAACCAGGATCAATAAAGTCTCCGGATTGCAAGCCAAGTTACCACAGCCCTGGCTGACTGGCACACTGTTATCGCTACTCAAGCACCCCTGGAATGATTGATAGACTGTGAATGACAGCAGCAGCTCAGGCTGGAAACAATTCAGTGCCATACACTGCCAACTAAAAACAAACAACCAACCAAATTAGAAAAACACAGCTCTAAACTTTCCTATTTCCTCCTGGGAGATGAGGAGAGTGCAGATTCAAGGTTCCCATGTGGTCTCATTTAACAGCAACAAACTGTCTGCAGCGCAGTCTAGCAAACAAGCACCGTCTCCAGCGAGTGTTTCTCCTCCAGATATAGGTGGCTAGAGAACTTAAGATGATATTTTTACAATGAAATCCTGCAGGAGAAGCAGAAGGAGTTGCATCGGGAGCAGGAGGAGCAGGAGGAGGAGGAGGAGAGGCAGCAGAAGGTGTGCAGCTGCTACCCAGACACCCATGTGCAGAGCTGGGTGGAGGGCAGCCAGTGGGGTGTCTGGGCATGTCTCTCTCTGTGTGTGTGTGTGTGTATTCCAGACTTATTTAAGAGTACTGCATGTAAGAGTAAAAAATAAAATAAAAATAGATATAAGCATGAAAAAGCAACAGCAGGGATGCCCTCCCCCCTCCTCCTCACCTCCCCAGTTGTTGTCCTCGGTAAGCGCTGTCAGGTCCAGACGGGGAACGTCCTCGCAGCTCGTCTTCTCGCAATCCGGATCCGAGCCTCGCACCTCTCCGCCGACCCTCCCCGTGTCACAAGTGACGGGCGACTCCTGGATCTTCATCCTGAACGTCTGCACAACCATGAGAGATAGACAGAAGAGAGCTTCTCAAACGAACGAAGACCAGCCCCGTGAACACACTCTTAAAGTTGAGCCCGCACACTCCCTCGGACTGGCCCTGCCCTGGCAAAAGGGGGCGGGTCCCGGCGTGTGATTGGCTGCCTCTGCTGGCCAAAACATCCGCCCATCTGCCTTTGGGCTGTGTGTGTGTGTGTGTGTGTGTGTGTGTGTGTGTGTGTGTGAGTGAGAGAGAGAGAGAGAGAGAGAGAGAGAGAGAGAGAGATG